CATATAAACACATACACACACATACATATATTTTGTCATATACACACATATATGTATATGTTATATGTAATATATATTGTTGTGTGTGTATATTCGTAAGAATAAGATAGGACATGTTATTATTACCATCATATACGCCTAAAGCCAGTCCAAAAGGCCCATCTATTGAATCGCCAGTAATGATTTGTTTCTGAGATGCCATACCAGCCTCAATATTCACATAGAATATACCGTCGTCATCACACCAGTAAAGATAATCACCATACACTACAGGTTGGTTAGGCCGGCTACCGGATCCAATAGTTGTACGATTTGAGCCGTCCAAGTTTGCTTGTTCAACAAGTCCATAGGTTGAATCACACCAATACATCTTCCCCGCTGTAGATTTAAAAATATACTGTATATTAGTACCATTTGTATACGGTAACAATTAGAGGTAACATACACCTATTACTGTATTTATAAATTCAGTCTCTATGTCACTGAGTCACCTAAACCGCCAACTTAAAGTCTTGTGAAGCCTACATCAGACCATGGTTAGCCAACTCGGAAGAAGCGGAGGCGTCGCAGCATACATACACCGCAGCTCAGTTAAGTACAAACGACTTGACTTTTCCGTTTGTAATTCTGAGTCCTTGTGGTTTGAGATTGTCGATGGGTCTGAAAAATTCGTGATTGGGGTGGTTTACCGTAAAGGGAAGATGAAGGTCCCCGACTTCATGGAAGATTTATTAAATACTTTAAATGAAATTAAATCAGATAAGAAACAATGTATCTTGGTAGGTGATTTCAATATTAATTTATTTAACACAGGAAATAGTGAAATAAATACGTATTTAAATGCTCTTGAATGCTCAAACATGATCCAAATAATAGAATCATCGAACCGTCCTATATCCAAATCACTTATTGATCATATGTATAGTAACGCATTAACTCGTAATAGAATCTCAGGAACAATTGCTTGTGAGGTATCTGACCATCTCCTACATTTTTTGCGATCTTTGACTATATGAATGACAATAAAACCAGTAATGATACGTTCCTTGCTATTAGAGATTATAAACATTTTAAGCAGAATGATTTTTAAATGATCTATCAAACATTTCTTGGGATTCCGTTTACGCATGCAACGATACTGATTTAGCCTATAACCAATTCTACTCTATATTTCTTGACTGCTGCAATAAACATTCGCCATTTAAAACCCAATCATTGAAAACCAATAACAAAATGAAACCGTGGATTTCCAAAGCGATTAAAAATAGATTCATAAAAAAACCAAGTTGTACTCAAAAGTAATTAAGAGTAATTTCGAACATACCATATTTACTAAATATAAACGTTACAGAAATACTCTAACGAAACTAATAAGAACGGCAAAGAAAAAGTTACTACTCAAACTTATTTTCTATAAATGCAAATAATTCTGTCAAAACATGGAAAATTATAAATAATATCCTAGGAAAGGGCAAATCAAAATCATTCAGTAATCTTCCTGATGAACTCATCCATGAGAACGGTGATGGAACTCAGATGATGCTGAAATCAACCGAACAAATTAAATGAATTTAACAATTATTTTTCAAATATACCTGTAAATCTTACAAACGATATCCCAGCATCGTCTAACACTTTTTCCGATTTTCTTTCCCAACCAGTAACCAATTCATTTTATTCAGAACCAATTACTCAAACTGAAGTTCATAACTTACTCAATGCTATCATGGAGGAAATTTTTATTTCCTCCATGAAGCTATTGACAGGAGTAAAGCTACCGGATCTGATTTTATCAATATTGTTATTATTTACATACACGTATTATGCAAATTAATATATCAACATTATGGACATTAATAAACAACCATATATAAATTGATATACCAGCATATGCAAATTAATTTTCCAGCAAAATATGAAAATTAATATACCCGCATATGCAAATTATTATTGCGTAATCATGCATAACCGGTCTGAAGTGGTATTATTTCTACTTTCAGGCCGTTTAAAATACTTTTAAATTGGTTTGGTGTGAACCAAATTTTAATTGACCTTTCCATAGTGACAAACTTATTAACTAGCTAAATCATCACAACATAGCTTTAAATACGCGCGTTTCCCACTGGTCCCAAAAACACGTGTTGTGTATATTTTTACACTTATGTTTTGTGGGACCTTAACAAATTATGTAGCTTGTCAATGTCTACGTTAAATGACTAGTTAAGTAGCAGTGTCATCTAACATTATTACAGTATATGTTTCCATTTGTAATTTAACTCATGTTTGAGATTTCACATTAGCTTACCTTCAACATCTAATTCCAATTTTGGGGAATCAAGGCTAGTATCTACAAGTATATCATGGTAAACTGAATTATCCAATCTTGCTCGAGCAATGAACGCAGGAATTATACCGTTGCCGGCTGTACTATAGTACAAATAACTAAATACAAAAGAAAGCCGTATTTAGTGTCAGTAGAGTATATCCGGCATAGTACTAACATAAGTAAACAGGTTGATGAAACAGATATTAAACATATATCAAATTAAAAATAGAAATAAACAATCAGTTTACACAGCCAAACTAAGAATTTCTGTCAATCATGCAGTTACTTTTTCCAGCTCAAATTTTTGAAAGCGACCTAACAGATTTCAATGCTTATGATGTAATATAAAAAAAAACCTATTTGAAATTGTGTTGCAATAATAATAGCCATCTCAATTCAATCAGTTATTCTATTTTAAAAAGACATTGGATAAAAAATATACAAAAAAATGCATTTTATAGCTCCTTTGTGCTAAGTTTTAACATTACTTTTACATATGATCTGCGTCCGGCAATAGCATTGAACAGGTTTTTTTTTATTATTTATTTTTTATAGCAGCAGCAAATTTGCAGGCCACATCTGGCCCTCTTGCCATACTTTGCCCACACTTTAACCTTTTTATAGACCCCTTTCAATGTTTACATTGGACCAAAGATCTTATAAACACAAGATAACGTTCTCCCCGTGCAAATTCTATAAGAACGCAGTGTACAGCGCCCTCTTGTTGCAAAAATGAAAACTTTTGAACATTAACTCAAAGAGTATAAATAGAACAAGAGAGCAAAGTCCCGTTCGTAAAAACGTCATGCCTGTGTAGGACGCCTACTAACGGTTGTATATTCTTTTTATTACCCAGTGCAGCGCTGCGCAGCGCGGTAGAAGTACGCCCGCTATAAACTCAGTAAACAGAAAACAAAATACAGTATCTTGTGGAGAACAGATAAACAGACAAACCTACCGTGCGCGGTGCAGTACTGGGTAATAAAACACATACAAGCGTTAGTTGGCGTTCTACGCTAGCTGCGTAGAGCGTATCGTTTTTTACGCTCTCAATGAGCGTTGTTGGCTCTCTTGTTCTATTTATACTCTTTGATTAACTGCTTTGCATGGCGTACACCGCGCGAATTTACCTTTACGCGTAACAATTAGAAACGTCGATTTACAATTAAGGAATAATAACATACTTGGTAACGAACTTGGAAACAACTAGAACGCTCTCTCCCAAATATGATTACTTTCTGCTGCCAAATCGACACTTCTATTTTGTTGCTCGTAAATCGCGGAGATACGCTATCTTGTGTTTACAGTATAAGATCTTTGATTGGACCTGGCTGAAACTCTGGCGGCGCTCTAACTGGAGGCAGAAAGCATTATCTTAATACACTTTCTTGGTTGTTTATATTTTTGTTGTGCCAAAAATATGAAAGCTACATTGATGAAACACTCACATACTGTATGATATAGTTACATATACTAGGAATCGACAAGAAAAATAAAAATTTAAGAAATTGTATTTGTTCTATTTTTATTCAATTTATAAACTCGTCTCTTCAAATGTTGCCATGTGCGAGCGCGCCCAGAAAGTGAACGCCTCTGCCGATGTAAAGGGCCTCGAATAGGCTTATGAATTTTCTGTTTACCCTACGGTGAGGCTACGCTAACTTTCACAAAGGTTTTGTTGGTTTTTCTTAATGAATATAATAATTAATCTGCAAGTAATTATTACAGCAACATTTGGTAGACTTTATAGTTGCGTAAGTAATATTAGGGTAGTCGAATGGAGTGCATATCCTGAAAATGCGTTTTTCTTTCGTTCTAACTCATTGGTCGATTTTCTGCACTATAATGCTTTCAGCAGACATTCCAAACCCTGAACGTCCAAAAGCGGGGGGAAATGTGATTATTAACATTACAGATACTTTGTATACATACACAATACTCAGTAAATAATATCATCTAGATGTGTATAAGAGACAGCATATGATCTGCGTCCGGCAATAGCATTGAACAGGTTTTGTTTTTTTAAATTTATTTTTGAAGGCATCAGCAAATTTGCAGGCCACATCTGGCCCTCATGCCACACTTTGCCTACATTTTAACCTTTTTATAGACCCCTTTCAATGTTTACATTGGACCAAAGATCTTATAAACACAAGATAACGTTCTCCGCGTGCAAATCACATGAAGTGATCATCCACGAAGTGAGGCACACGAATTCTTTTGACTTGTGTTCATCCAGCCCATGAAAATTTGAATTGTAAAATTGACAAAGTTAATTCAACAACGTCTTTTTACTATCTTTAGGTAACGTAAAACATTTACTTCGTGTGCACTTATTAACCCCCTACAACACAATTTACTGGCATATTCTGTAAAACTCGGGAAAACTGTAATATACTAACAGCCTAGGGTAGAAGTTGGGGCTTTTCTTCCTCCACTAGGCCACCGTCGCAGTGTTTGTTTTGATTTCGCGCTTGGATGAAGTTTGGCAAAGTCGGTCACCAATGACGTCATTGAGTGACCTCTTTGTTTCTAAGGTCTTTCAAAAATGACACTTTAAACTCATTTTTTTCGTACAAAAACAATTTTATTCGTAATATATGACCAACACTTGTGTTTATAATATATTTATAAATATAAACACGCTGTAGTTTATAAAAATTGTCAGAATAGGTGGCAGAGGCACTTTAAGTCATGTAATTACCAATATAAATTAGGCCTATTATTATTATTATTATTATTATTATTATTATTATTATTATTAGCAATTCTTTTCTATGATTCTATTATTGTTTTTTTATATTCTAATAAGATATTTAGAAAATGTATTTTATATAAAGATTTAGATGGAAATGTAAGTTGTTGTTTGCTTAGTGAACACAGTTGATTCGAGTAAACTGTGCATTTATACCTTTTTGTCATGCCATTTGCTATAAATAAATGTTATAGTTATGCCTCTTTGCCATAGTTATTTACTTAATAATCGTTTTAGTTGTCCCTCTTTGTCACTGTTATTTCTAGTTAAAATGTGAATTGTTATTCTGCCATGGTTAATTATTTTTATTAAACAGTTACTATTTTCCTATAGTTTATTTCCATAGTATTAAACTGTTGCCATTCAAAGTAAGGCAAGATTATATAGCATAAATTAACTAGGCTTATCATGTTTGCCTAACATTAACTAGACATATGCTACTGTCAAGAATCATACTATTTAACTAATTTCTATTTACAAATTGTGAATACTCAAACAGTAGGAATAATAAAAATAATACAACTTAACATGCAACCTTCATTGTAACCAGGGAGAAAGCTCTCTTCTGATTGGTTGGCTGTTGAAAGAACGTCACGCTTCAGCGTATCACAGCCTATCTTTGCAGTTATGCCCTTTTGCCTTGGGGATTTACTGAAAATTGTGTAGTTATGCCCTTTTGCCATGCCCCTATCTAGCCCGGGGGACACTTTTTTACGATTTTTTTTGTGTCAACATGTGTAACATGATGTACTGACCCCACTAGGCTATATAACTCATTTTCGCCAAAAATGTCAGTTATGCCCTTTTTTCATGGGGGGGGGGGGCAGTAAACAGCATGTGCACTGTGTGCAGTCAATCAGCTGTTCAGTCATGTGGTACAATAATCTTGTATTTCATTGGTTAATATTTTTTAGAGGGCGCTATTTATGGACTTAAGGTGTTTTGAAGGAAATGCTATATGGATGTAAGGAGTTCTGCATCAAAAGTAGTTTTTGTTAGTGTAATTTGAGCTTGATGGAAGGTGTTTTGTAACTAACCAATAGTCTAGCATGGTGTGTATTGTCAAGTAGATATAATTACCACTGTTAACTCAATTTTGAAAAAAAGTGGATGTAAGGGGTTTTGCAATCAAGCTCTTCATATATTTAGATATATCTGGAGGGCCTTTCAAGCAAAGTATAACAACCACACGAAATCGTTTAGACACGAACAATACGAAAAAGAAACGGAACTCTAAAAAAAATATGGCAACTAAAGAAAAGGTCATGAATATGCAATAAAGTGGGATATCCTAAAAAAATCAAACACACACATGCGCAAATCAGGGAAATGTAACCTATGCATTAAAGAAAAACTCGCCATCCTATGCAACAAAGAACCCAACACAGTTAACAAAAAAAAAAAACGAGCTCATCACTAAGTGCCGTCACAACAAATTTAAATATGAAAGGGAAAGAAACAGGTAACAAATGGGTATAATATCAAGTAACAACCTTAGGCTGTCAGTTGTCTGACGACCGCCATAGGGCGCGAAACTCAGAGTAACAACCAAGCCACAAGAAAACATTGCTGAATATATTATATCTGTCTCTTATACACATCTAGATGTGTATAAGAGACAGGAGCTAGGCCATTGTATATACATATTTGAATACAATATCGACCAAGAATAATAATAATAAGAAAAAAAAAACATAAAATAAGCAAACACATAAATTATTAAAACTGATAAACTAATAATCTTTTTCGTATCGCTATTAATCACTATATTAACACTGCTCGTCGTCTGTGATGGTCATATATTTTAGAGTATCCTCCGGGAGTTTAGTCTTGGTATTATCGTGATTATTTTTATTTATAAAAGTTGAAAAGTGGGACCATTCAGGGTTTGGGCGGAACAGCGGGACACGACCACGAAAAGCGGGACAATCCATCGAGACGGCCAAACTGCGGTATCCAGCCACTGGGAAAATACAAATTCCCAAGATTCAGTCTAAAATATCCCAAGAATGCTTTAAAAATCCCAAGATTCTCAAAATAATAGTATATATACATAAAACTTTTTTTAAAAACCCACTTTTAAAGCTTTTCCAATCAATGTCATTATAATATGTACTGTATAACGAAAGAGTGTCTGGATTTTTGAGACCAACTAGTTCGTTTTGAAGTCGGGGAGGGGGTGGTGGTGGTGGAGGGAATGTCTTATCTGAATTAAAATTGTATACTTAAGAAAATGACTGGGCAATTGCCTTTATTTTATTTGTAATTCACAGAATATATACTAGTAGCATAACGGTGTGGGATCTCCTGACATCTGTTTTTTTTTTAATTTCCAAGCTTTTATATTAGTTAGAGCGCCACCAGCGTTTCAGCCAGGTCCAATGTAAACATTGAAAGAAGTATAATACTTAGAGCCATTTAGACTGCTTTAAGGAGTAAAATTTTCCAGCTTCTAATAAATGTGATGGACAAGAGATAACTACATTATATGACAACATAACACAGCCAAGGGATGAAACAAATATTTAACACTTTGGTCAATAATTGTTTACCGTCATATCCATTAATGAACCTGGAGCGAAGGAAAGGAGCGGTTTTTCTAAACGACAATAATTCTTAGACTAAGAACATCCTGATCAGACAATAGCTTACCAAGTCAGGGAGGTGCTTAGACTAAAAACATCGAACCAAATGGTAAGTCAATTTATGCAAGCGCTAGCCAGTGTTGTGTAGTGAGTAATGGAGGATTTTAATGTATTTCGCTTTTATTGTTTAATATTAGGTATAAAAGTCAATTTGGTTGTAATTTGTTTTAGCACAATCATCGTATAGACAGTAAGTACTTTTAAAATTTCAGGTCCCGATTATCTGTAAATATTGAATCATTAAGTAAACGTGGACTTTGATGTTATTTCTTTTCACAACATTTTTAATTCTATTGATTGCAATCTTGTACCTTTGTTTACAGTGAACGTTCCTAGTCGTACTCGCACTAAGAACATAATCCGTGTTCCATTTGACCGAGTAGACGTAACAAAGAGAGGTTTATCTCAGGTTAGCTGTATCATGGTAATGGTACTAGTAATGTTTTGGGACTTGTAAAGTGCATACTACATGGTCTCTATGCGCTATAAGTTACACAAAAGAAACAAACCAAAACTAAATTCTAACCAAGCGACCTAAAAATAAAAAACATCAGAAACAGACTGTCGCAGGGGAACCAACATCACCACACAGTTTTCATGCAATTGAGACCACTGGCAAGCAGTGGTTTGCAGGATCATAACTCACAGATGCTCAAGCGATGTTGGTTGACGTCTAGACTAGCCTATCTTAGAAAAACTCAGAACGATGGAAGTAAACAAAAAAAGTAAACAACAAAAATGGAAAAATTAAAAAGTTTGATAAAAGTAGGTCTTTAGTCTCTCCTTAAAAATGGATACAGATATAGCTTGGGAGAAGCAGCTTGAAAGGACCTCTCTCCATATTAGAACGAATTAAAGGGGTAGATAAAGTATATGGACATGTGGTGGAACGAAGACTTCGATAACATGTTGATGACCAAGGATGGATAAGATCAGTCAGGTACGTAGGTGATAAGTTGTGGAAGTATTTAAAGGTATAAACAAGGATCTTAAATGTTACGCGCTGTCTTACTGGAAGCCAGTGAAGTGTTTTAAATGTAGGGGTGATGTGTTAAGTTTTCGGTATTTGTTTGACGAGATGTGCGGCAGTATTTCATTGATGTTGAATTCGCTTGATTGATGCATTTGGTAGTCCACATAAGATTCCATTACAATATTCGATTCTAGATGTAAAAATAGAGTGCACAAGTTTCAATGTAGCCTCTTCGTTCAGAAACCGTCTGATTTGCCTGATGTTTCTGATGTGGTAAGAAACAGATTTGCAAATGTTGGTTACATGTTTTTTAAGCGTCATTGTAGAGTCAAATGTAAGGCCAATATTACGAACAGAAACAAATGGAACAATAATGCATTCGGTAAGTTTTTGCGATAGCGCGAGTGAATATTCAATGCTTCCGTTTTACTAGTGTTAAAACATAGCATGTTCAGTGCCAACCATGACTTGACATCATTTGAACATGCTTTTATAGATCGGATTGCATCGTCAAGTGACTCTGGCTTAAATGCTATGTTGGGTGTCATCTGCATACATGTGATATCTGCATGTGTGTTTCGAAATTACATGCCCAAGAGGACGGATGTATAATAAGAAAAGGATGGGCACTAAAATGGAACCTTGAGACACCCCGCAGTTTAGACGTTCAGGAAAAAGGAAAAAAATACCTTAAAAATTCAAATGCAATTTCGAATAGCCCTTTTAAAAGATCAAGTTAAAGCTTCCAACCAGAAACAGATTGAATTTATGGATCTGTGCAAAAGGATACAGAAAAAGTAATATTTAAGGGTCTGAAAATTAACAGGGGATTATTTTTTTTTATCAAATTTTAATTTCAAGTTAACAACTTACTTAAATAGAAAAAAATTAAGGAATTAAAATGTGGAATTAATATTATCATTCTTTATCTCATGACTGATATAGGCCTAATAGTAAATTGTTAATGTAAATTTGTACCATATGTTTTGTTTCTTTGTGTATGTATTTTCTCCAACCTGTTTATGTAAGTTTCTATCGCTGTTGTTTGAGGATTGAATAAATTAAATAAATATATAAATAAAGATAATTAAATGCACAAATAAAAAATCAGAGGCGGTCAAAAATGGTGGTCAGAAAAAGGTGGAGGCGGTGATAAACTATGGAACGACGTCTTTGATTGCGCATTTTCGATCGGCACAATTTCATTTTATTTTTAAGTCTAAGCCTGTCAAACGAAAGAGTAGGGGGAAATGTCAAGGTGGCCTCTGCTAGCGCCACCAGACCAAAGTACAAAGTATATTTTTATTTGGCCATATGACTCAACAATATGAGGAAACAGGCAAACAATTCATGCGCAAAAGTTATATAAAAAACCCTACATATCTTCATTTTATACTCTTGCGCTTATTCAGTGTGAGAAAGAGATAATTTTTGATAGAGGCTGCCTAAGAAATTAAATAATAGGCTTATATATTAGTATTTACAAACCAACATGTGTATCCTACCCGTTTACTGCATCTATTTGTATTTCTTCAGCAAAACCTGTAACATTAGACATAAATGTTTTTCTGTCGGTGCCATCTAAGTTAATGACCTCAATAAGGTTAACGTTGTTAATATTTTCTCCAAAGTAGAGTCTCTGTTCAGTGACGTGAATATCCATTGCTTGAAAACCGTTTTCTGTTTCTGTAATCGAAAAGATGTTTGACCCATTTTCAATGATAAATATAATATATTATAGTTTATTCATATTATGCCTAGGCCTACTTGATTATAGAGACGTTATAAATTATGCCATGGGTACAAGTGACAAACCAGAGGAGATAATTTCATTGTGGATAATAAGTGACAAACAACAATTGAATTAAGCATTCCAAAGGCATTAAACCTTAAAAATAAAAATTATTGGTCTAAAATATACAATCAAAATAATCTATAAAAACGGTTGGCTAGTCCCAGCCAGGTGTGTTACGCCCACTACCAGTGAAGCAAACATATTTCAACAGCCACTTTTTTTTGTTAAATTTATAACGGCAAAAAGTCCAACATTGGCAGTTTACTTATATACGGTACATGTATACCGGTACAATTAATGTAGGCCTATATAAATAATATATTATCGTACTTGACATATTCATACATTATTGATATGTCTAAAATATTGCCATGATGACATGTTGACATACTGACCATATTATAGACACATAATGAGTATATTGGCAATGGGCATACAGCAGTTTCTATTTGTCAAATATAATTTGAAAATATGGACAAAGCTTAAAGCCCTCTCTAGACTGTCAAATTTTGTTTGAAAAAACATGTGACATGCCTAAATATGGTTATGATGACTTCATATCTTGGCCATATATAGGCACATCATGACCATATATGGGCATATAACAGTTTTTTGTCAAAGAAAATTTGATAATCTGGACAGAGATTTAGACTAGTATAACATTTACCTGCAGAAATGAATGTTTCCAAACTTTTGTTTTTCAGAGAATATTTAATAATTTTCAGATTGCTCGAGAAATAGAGAGTTGAAGTAGATGGATTGTAGGTAGGAAAGCTCGGTAACAAATCAGGTTCGATCAGACGTTCCGTAAAATTAAGAACAGAAGGATTAGAGTGATCGATATCCGAAATAGAAATGCCATTAGAATCTGCCACAAAGATGACGTCACCTGTGGAATATTGATAGCTTATATTTATTTAAAAAAATATAGCACTGCCATTTCTAAAATTCAGTACTAATCCTCCTTTATTACTACTAATAGGGCCTAATACAAGTGAAAATACAATTTTAGTTGTTACGAACGTACTAAAAACACAAGATTATGATATGAAAATCTCAATGACAGTCCTACATTAAATGATATGCATAACACTTATTGTAGATCTGATTGAAGTTACTAACTTACATGTCGTCTTAGAAACCAGTATAGAAAGCGCGGAAAAGTAAAATATCAAGGATGAATTTTAAAGTTTAAACTAGGTGACATCAAAACCCAATGATACATAACAAAATTTCAAAGATTTTTTTAGGCAAAATTTGATTGTTAACTGATAGTATTTAAACTAAATATCTTACTTTTTTCTTTAAAAATCTAAAATCTACATTGAAACACGGAAAGGTAGATTAAATAGGAATATCCTGTGCATGTAAACCAGAACACCCAATGCAGAACAATGTAAGTCGAAGGTAACAGAATACAGGAAGGCTTCTAGAATTCTCAGTGTGGTGTTTCTACTTTTTATTCAACTATTAACTGTAAAATGCGAATACGTCTAAAATAAATTACAGTAGCTTCCTGGTAAAGCACTGTTTGGCCTTGTGGATCATACAGTTGCGATCAATATTCGGATGAATTTTTGCTTTTAGTGCGTTGTTTGCTGATTTTCTTTCGAATTGGCAAGACTGAGTTAAGTAGTAAGTAAAAAACAACTAAGACCCACTGTTTACGACATGTATGCTCTAGGCAAACTCAGACAGCGTCATACGACGCAGCCCGACGAGATTTGTTGCTGCGTCGGTTCTGTATGATTTGCGTCGAAGGCAGTCGCATCGTAGAATGTTAAACGGCATAAGACTGTCTCCGACGATGAATGGCGTCGGGTTGCGTCGTACGACGCTGTCTAAGTTGGCCTTTAGAAACATAGTGAACGAGTTGGAAGACAGGAATAGTAATAACAAATAAGTAAAATATGCCCCATTTTAATAGTAATTGTATATCAATGTGTTTTTTTAAACTTTTTAGAATTAATTAAAAAAAATAAAATAAATGAAAGAAATAGGTCTACTTACGACCGAGAGAAAAAAAGATTTGAGTTGCAGTCACTAATATCAAGACACACATTTTAGTCAAGCTCAGGATATTTGCCATCTTACGGTTTTCTATCAGATATCAGAAGAAAAAAAAACATTAGATTTCTCTTACATTTTGATATAGCTAGAAAACTATTACATAAAAAGGTTTTAAACCAGCAAATGACACTGCCAATTGTCCGGTTACTGTTTATTTTTTTTACGTAGAAATTGTTACCATACTTAAATCTTGTATTTTGATAATGAGCCATTGTTTCAAAATAATCATTTAAACTAGGTAAAAAATAAAGATGATATAAATTAAATTACAAATACGTTTACCTTAAATTTATGGAGTTTAAAATATCTAAAAGGCTTAGTTGAAAAAATATGGGAGATAATGGTTCCTAAACCTAGAAAATGTTATGCAACGCACACACTCTTCTGGGAAATTAAATAGGAAGGGTATAAATTTCTAAAAGTATGTATTACACTAGACTTGTAAACCATATTTTAAATTGGGTTGTATAAATGCTTTATATAATAAAATTACAATATAATGTAGTACAAAGCTTCTTAGTTTAAATGATATTCTAGATTGCTTTCGAATAATTTGATTAACTTCATTAATGTGTGCTTTCCAAGTTTAGTGCTTGTTCATGGTAGATCAAAAAAAAAAAAACAAAAACCACGTCATCTACCTCACTTATTGTCTTTGACACATAAACAACCATACAAAGAAATATGTTTACCTTTTCCATGAAAATTAATAAAATTAGTTTTATTTACGTTTATTGTTACCTTGTTTGCATCCCACTAATCAATAATTTTCTGAAAGTGATAATTAACTAAAGGCAGATTTATAGTGCTTACTTCTTTTCGAAATTATGAAATAATTTTGAATCATCTGCAAATAGTCGTAAATCAAAATATTAAGATGAATTCGGTAATTAATAATGTTTGAGTTTAGAGAGTAAAATAATGTGGTTAATGGTGTAAAAGGCCTTAGTAAAATCTATAAATATTCCACTCGTCGAATTTCTTTATCAATTTGCTGATGAAGTAATTATTAGTTAAATTAATTAAAGATAATTTTGCACTGTGTTTTTTACGGAAACCATATTGGTGTTTGTAAAATATATTAAAATTTTAAAGAAATTCATTAATCTGTTGTTTATAATGTTTTATGTAATACCACAATTAGGCGATAATTGAAAAAAAAAAAACTACCTTTGACTCTTTTTTATATGGTGTTACCCTGCTACGTGTTATGCTGCAGAAAACTTGCACTGTGTAAATGATAAATTAAAGATAAAACAAAGGTTCTGCTATATAATCAGCTGCAGCTTTAAGAAGCTTAGCAGGTTAATTATTGTATCCAGAATATTTGGCTTTTCGCAGCAGTACTGGGAAAAGCCATTGTTTTCGTTCTGATTTTTTTTCTTGCATTATATTTTGCATATATTTTTGCACTGTTTTATTTAGTGAGAATTTCATGCAAGCATGATTTGAAACAATAGGCTGGGTGAGATTAGAATAAAAAGCCTAAACAAGTAAACAGGAAGGCCAAAACTAAACTTTAGAGGCAAGCCTCAATAAATAAGCCAAATGATTTATCCAGAATAATTTGAAATGCCATTGGTTTAATTTAGTGTACTGGGAGAACGTTCCTAATATTGAGTCCAAATGGTGTGGTTGTTTTAAGTAAAAGTTCCCAGTGATTCTCTTTATCTTTGCGATTTTTGTAGCTCCGACTGGCATTATGGTCAATTGCAATCACTCTGAAATTTGAAATTGAATGACCAGCTAAATTGAAATGTTCGGCTACTAGTTGATCAAGCTTAGATGTCCTGATAGCTGATCTATGTTGTGTCATTCTCATAGTGTTTTTTGTTTCTCCGACATATTGTTTACCACAAATATTACAATATATGAGATAAATGACATTTTTGGTGAGGCAATTAATTGATTGCCTTATCCGAAATATGTGGTTTGTTT